CTGTGGCTCGGGACCATAGTCCAAGGAGACATCAAACTCAATTGGCATAACACTACACAAAACAGTGTTCCACATCCTACATTGATGAGTAGCAACTGGGGTCTTAAAAGCTTGCAAGCGGCCATCTAGATGCAATGATGGGTCTCTCCTGGTCCAGAGCAAAGAAAAATGAAGAAAACCAAAGATTCATGAAAACAATTAGTTTAAGTGACTGGTACACCATGTGATCCTCAGCCTATACGACTATGAGACCAGAAGAACTAGACAGTGCCCAGCTACCACTGTCAACCAATTGGAGGGGGATCTGTGTAGGAGACACTGGATAGAGTGGGAGAACAAAGTCGAACAAAACTCAAAATCATTTGGGAAAGAAAAAAAAAGGGCCAGGTTTGCTGGTCTGATAGAGTCTGATCGAACCACTGAGACTACAGCCCCTAGCTGCCCTTCAGGTCTGGAATTGACACCTGTGGCTTCCATCCAAACAAAAGACAGGCATATGAGGCGAACATTTACACTAGACAGATACACTCCTTGGAGAGAACAATAATGGGAGAATAGAAGCGCTATATATGCACAGGGAGACAGCTCAGGGGCAGTAGTGCATGGAGGGAAGGACACAGTGAAGAGGTAACTATCGAGAGGAAGTGCGAGGGGAGCTGTTGCATTTGTGCTCATGACAAACCTGTACATAGGCCAAGAGACAGTCATTTGAATAGAAAAAGGGGATGCTCCATGATTTAAAATTGGGCAATATGTGCATCAGTGTTGTATCCTTTCACTATACTTATGCAATCTGTATGCTGAGCAATTAATGCGAGAAGCTAGACTATATGAAGAATGTGGCATCAGGGTTGCAGGAAGACTAATCAATATCCTGCATATCCAAATGGCACAACTTTACTTGCTGGAAGTTGAAGAAGACTTACTGATGAATATCAAAAATTTCAGCCTTCAATATAGATTATACCTCAACATAAAGAAAACAAAAATCCTCACAACTGGTCCAATAAGCAACATGTGATAAATGGAGAAAATGTTTAAGTTGTTAAGATTTTCATTTTACTTGGATCCAAAATCAACACCCATGGAAATGGAATTAGCAGTCAAGAAATCAAATGACATATTGCATTGGGTAAATCTGTTGCAAAATATTTCTTTAAAGTGTTGAAAGCAAAGATGTCACCTTGAAGACTAAAGTGTGCCCGACCCAAGCCATGGTATTTTCAGTTACCTTATTTACGTGAGAAAGCTGTTCAATGAATAAAGATGACAGGAGAGAATTGATGCTTTTGAATTATGATGTCGGTGAAGAATAATAAATATACCATGGGCTTCCAGAAGAACAAATTTGTCTTGGATGAAGTACAGCCAGAATGCTCCTGAGAAGCTGGCATGGCAAGACTTCATCTCATGGACTTTGAATATGTCATCAGGGGGGACCAGTCACTGGAGATGGACGTCATGTTCGGTAACATAATGGGTTAATGATAAAGAAGAAGACCCTCAACGAGATGGATTGACACAGTGGCTCAACAACAACGGGCTCAAACATAGCAACGATTATGAGTATTGCTCAGGACCAGGCAGTGTTTTGTTCTGTTGTGCACAGGGTCTCTGTGAGTCAGACCTGATGAGACGGCACCTAACAACACTAGCTGTTAGACAGAAAGTGGAGACTGCAAATTGTAGACTATAGTCTTATATTTATAAATATAAGGTAGATTAAAGCGAAAATTTTTAGTGTTTTAGAGTAATTTGATCAAAGCACTTTTTTTTTTTTTTAAATTAGTGATTTCTGTAAGTTTGTTGGTAATATGATCAGAAAGATCTGGTTCAATATGATCATTTCAGAATTTGAAAGCTGGACTAAATCATCTAAGATTTTTGGTAATATTTAAGCATCTAGCCTCAAAAGACTAATTGCACAGGTTCAGGCTAGAGAAAATATGCCTAAGTATATATGAAAAACTCTGGGATTTTTGTTGCCCTAATAACAATAATAATAACAACCATATTTACAATTAGCAGTCTATTTTCAAGTATGTTTCTCACCTGAAATAGCCTCATGAATTCAATATTGCCGTGGTTGTTTACTTTGTTTCAGAGATGATTAAGCTGAAGCCCAGAGAACTTAAGTGATTTACCTAGAATCATGCAGTGAGAACTGACACAACTGGAACTTGAGCTCAGAGTTGAAGTCTTATACTTAGTTCCTTCACTTTATATTTCCCAGAATATTCAGTAAGTTAAAGAAAGAGCAGATTAGAGAGTTTACCTTTTCGTTTGTCTCTTCCTTTTATCAAGTGGAATATTCAATGAAGTAATTAATAATAATAATGAAGTAATTAATAATAAAGAGGGTTAAAGAAGGTAGCACATGTTTTGCCTATTAAAGGAATTGTGTTCTTAGCTCCTGTATAATTGAGGATTGATTTTATTCCTCACATAGAAGGGCTGCTAGGTGAAGGGAACAACACATAAAGTTGTAGAAACATGGTTTTTATATTTGTACGGGACCCTAGCGATTACTTAGGGAAGTCCTCCTGTTTTGTAGATGTGGAGACTGAGATGCAATGGCTATCAGACGTTTCCCCACGTCTGCTAGTTAGTGGCATATCTGGTACTAGAATTTATGGATCTTGGCTCATTTTTGTTAAGCCAGCTTCCTCTACATATAAATTACATTGTCTTTTGAAAAGACTGAGATACGTTGATTAATAGCAGATGATGTTTTTTAAATAAAAAATAAAATCTTTATTTATCTTAAAAACAATCACATGTCAAGCTTCATAGGATACTTTTGACATCATAAAGACATCATAAAGGTCATTTATGCTGTGATGTACTTGCTCATTTTTTCATTTGTATTATGACAAATCCTTGAGTATTCATTTCTTATTAAAAAGTGAAGTCTTCTAGTTTTAGGCTAGGTGAAAAGAAGGGTCTTATTTGGTTGTCTTCAAAATGAGGAGTGATTTTATTTACTTGAGGAATTGACACTGATATTCTTTTCATTATAGCATATGCATAGTAAATTAATATGATGCTATGAATTTTTAATTATTTTCCCCAAGTGCCCATACTTCTCCATTACTCTATTTTAAAAATTTTCTTGTATAGGCAAACAAAAAAAAATAACTTATTTTTGATATTAATGAAAAATGTTTTCTTCAATTCATTAGCTCAGCAGATAATTATGTGGGTACGTTTCTTTGCTAGATTTCCCAAAAATATGGTGTTCTGTTTTTCAATCGTTATAGATTACCATATTTGACGCTGATTCTGAGGAGCAGCAAGACTTAGATTTAGCAATCCTAACAGCTCTGTTGAAAGGTAAGTGTGTGAATAGGATCTCAGTTTTTCCTCACTTCTTTCGACATTCGATGGCACTTTGTTTTTAAGCAGGTTTTTTGAATGTAATACAGGCTTTGTGTCACTTAATGTCCGTGATATGTTCTGGGAAATGGGATGTTATGCGATTTGGAAGTAGTGTGAGCACCATGTTATATATGGGCAGAGCCAGTGCAATCTGTAGTTAAGTCCCTGTAAAGCCTATTCTATGAAAACCTTCAGGGAGCCTGCCCGACAAAGCTGGAGTGCTGTACCCAGTGGACACGGGAGATGGGCCTTGCCAGCTGTGCAGCTGGTCCTGGTGGGACCTGTGCCAGCAGTCGGGTCGGGACTTCCATCATGTCTGGGCACAGGGTGCAGGGGAGGAGGGGGCCTCTGAGAGGTGGTTATGGGGACAAAATATGTGGATGCCGGGAGCACGACTGGTGTTGGCAGCCCTGACTCCGCTGCCCTGTTGGTCAGCCACTTCCTGATTATGTGCAGAGGAGCCCGGCAGACACTGCCTTGCACTCAAAAGTGCAAAGGTGTACTGCTCTTGGGTGGGTGAATGAAGCCCAGAAAGAGGAGGAGAAGGAGGAAGCAAAGGAGAAAGCACTGTGGGGACTGGGATGCACCCTTGAGACCCAATGGTCGATCACTCCAGGCGTTTGGGGTCTTTAAAACCATAAGGAGGAAATAAAAAACAAAGAAGAGCAGCCTTTCCTTTAAAACAAAACAAAACAAACAAATAAAAACAATCTTATAGGACCATGAATGTATACATGATTGGAGGGGGACACATACTTACATATGATTATCCCTTTTTCTCACCCTAGGCACAAATTTATCAGCTTCAGAACAATTAAATCTGGCAATGGCCTGGGATAGAATGGACATTGCCAAGAAAGAGATTCTAATTTATGGACAACATTGGAAGGTATCGTGAAAACTAAGTTACTTGGGAAAAGTATTTTATGTGTTGGATTGTTAGAAAGGAATGAAAGAGAAGATTGGAGGAGAAATTGATTGACTTGGGAGAGGTGTAGGAGTAGCAGCTGGGTGCCCAGGGTGGGTAAAACATTGCTCTCATTTATTTTGCCTCCCTGAAAACATTTTTCTCTGGCCTTGCAGCCTAATAATTAAAGCAGAAAAAGGAAGTTGGAGGAAAGACAGAATGGAAGGATTTTTAAAATTTATTTGAATTGGAGGATTTTTATATAGTTATTTAAAACTCAATGTTTATCTTATTCATTACATTAAAATATAGTAAGTGCTTACAATAGAAATTAGTGAAAACAGAGAAAAACAGAATGAGGAAAGATATCCCAGAATGCTAATGATAATAAGTAAAAACTTCATTTTAAAAAAGTTAAAAGTTGTGAGTGTATTCCACAAGTATATTAAAAAATGAATTATTATTATTTTGGGTTCAAAATAATACATGCAAATTATTTAAAACATCAAACTATACTAAAGGACTACTGAGAAAACATAGGTTTTCCCTGTCTTGCTGCACCCAACAGCCAAGAAATTCTGATTTTTTTTTTTTTATTGTTGTGACATTTAATAATCTTCATAGCTGTATATCATGTCATATTGCTGTCTTCTGATTCACCAGTCTTAAAGACCCCTCAATGTCTTTGTCTTGTAGTTAACAGTGTTGCAACCAAGATCAATTGTCTTCTGTGCCTGGTACTCATCTGTCATCTAGGGGTCTCTGTCATCATGTTGGGAATTCCTTTTGCCTCTCTCCTGCATTAGATCTCCTGTTTTCTCTATCTCATATCTTCCTCTTTTGGTTTACTCTTTCATTTTGATGGCAAACATCCTTGAATAACTTCCTGAGAAACAGTATGGCAATAAATATTTTATATCTGAAAATATTTTTTTTCAAGATTGGGAATAATTTTCCTTCAGAATTTTGAATCCCTAGTTCCTAAGGCCCACATTGCTTTCGGTTTCTGATCCTTTGTGACCATTTTTTTTTCCTTCCCTGGAAAATTTTTAGAATATTCTTTTTTCCAGTGTTCTGAGATTTCACAATGATAGGTCTTGTTATGAGTCTATTTATACCTGGCATATGATTTCAATTTGACAATCATGTGTTTTATAGAATTTCTTTTTCTCTCTGTTGAATTTTTCTTATTTGAATGTTACTTCTGCTTATTTGAATGTTGAAGGCTGCTTCTCTAATTTTCTTATCTTTCTCCTCTTTACTTCCATATTTTTTCTTTGGTAGGTTTTCTCAACTTTAATTTCTAAGTCTTCTATGGAGTTTTTTATTTCTGGTAGCATACTGTTAATATCCAAGAAAATTTGTTCTCTGATAGTACCTCTTTTTCTTTTCTTTCTTCTTCTTCTTCTTTTTTTTTTTTTTTTC